ATAATTCACACTTATATAAATTACAAGTCACTTGCCGCCAGCACGGTTTTATTGTTGTATAATATTGAGTTATGATATTTTATAAAATTCTAAAAAAATATCTACAAATATCACTTCTTTTAGGTTAGCCTTTTACTCATTGCCGGCGTCATACTCGCGGTTGCCGCCGCGCGACCTCAACATGGCGGCCACGAGCACGCGTTCTCCTCACAAAGCTTAGTGCTGCACCAGAGCGGGCACGAGCAGCGCACCCAACAAAACCAGCAGGTGTACCAGCAGCGCGACCAACAAGAGCACAGCGACCACGAGCACGAGGACTACTACGCGTATCCGAAGTACGCGTACGAGTACTCGGTACAGGACCCGCACACTGGAGACCACAAGAGTCAGCACGAGACCCGCGACGGCGACGTCGTGAAGGGCTTCTACTCGCTGCACGAGGCGGACGGCACCGTGCGCATCGTCGAATACTCCGCCGATAAACACAGCGGGTTCGTATTTACTACTACTTTTACCAAAAGTTCTGGGAATCTTTAAAACTTATATCATATACAGTCGTTACCCATTTTTCATTAGTTCAAAAGTTTACTTATTTGTTTTTTTTTAATTAATCTAATACTGAAAATTTGCTATAGAAGATTATCTAGTCACCTTCTGTATTGTCTTCTCCGTTGATCTGAATCAATCTAAAACATTTTTCTTTGTTTTCTTAGGTCTTCTGTTGTGTATTCATCGAACGTGGTTTTTTATTTGTTTCAGTTTTCCATAATAAAAATACTTTCTTAGCCACTTACAGCAATTAAATGGCTGTTTTTGCTCATTGGACAAGTTTAAAGTAGACCAGAAACATTTCACTGATTTATATTCTACCCACCACAAATTTTCTAACTCAGTGCATATTTAATTACAGATTCAATGCTATCGTGAAACACGAGGGTCATGCTAAACACATCATTCCAGAACAGAAGCACCATTAATTTCTTTAACTGACCTTTGTTTGTGACATGTGATATTATTGTTATGTTTGATAATATAAGTATTCTAATAATTTAATACTTTTATTTTGAATCATGATTACTTACTGCAAATAAAATTATTGAAAAATGTTTACCAAATCTTAATCTCGACAATTCGTCATTGCTGCCCTATCTAAAAAAGAAACTGATTGATTGGCATATCAACTCACAATCCAAACTGCTGGGTCTAGTGACTCCAAATTTGGCACGTGGGTTTCTTATGAGGTATTCACCCACGAAGGGTTTAAATAGGGGATGAAATGTTGTTATATTATTCCTCGAGTTAATAGACTTAAAACTTGGCACAAATACTTATCAAAATAAACTTATCAGAATAACATGTATCAGGGTTCTTTGCAACTCTATCCCTTACGGGGTTAAAAGGGGGTAGTAAAATATACTAGGGAGTATTTTTCTACGAGGCTTGATTATTTCGTAAACAGTTAAACGAATTTGGATTAAAGGACAATGCCCAAAGGAGGCTCGGCGTGGACAAGAGGCTTGGCAACCAACATTTTAACAATATTATTTTATTTATTTTTTAACGAATTTGTATAACCATAATATAGTAGAGAATTTAATTAATAATATAAGAAAATATAAATGAAAATAATACGAGCACTTCCTTCTATTAGGTATCTAATATCACATGATAGAAAATGGTTGTGATAGGCCAAATCGAAGTTAGCATCACGTTATGTCTGCGAAAACGGCTATGATTGGCCGAATTTAAGTTTGCATGACGTCATTTCTGGGAAAACAGCTTGGATTGGACGGGTCTAATATGGCATTTGCAGACATGAGCTGCATTCCAAACCTACGATCCAGCTGCAACAAATGTCAAATTCGATCGAAGTTTCATACACTTATGTCAATATTGAAAAGTCAGTTAACGTTAATTTCACTCAATATGGCGTGCAAGATCACATGCATATTACCATAATCTCTAAACGAATAAAAATGAAATGTATTAGGCTTCAATGTCATGGGGATCCCTTTCCGAGTCGATATGTCTAATATCAACTGGGAAAGGGATCGCCACTTTATCAATTTGAGCCAATCAGTATTCTTTGTATGAAAATTCAAATTAAATTATTATTAAAAACTTAAATATCCAATAAAAATAAAAATTGAAAGTTTTGGAATGCGCTCAAGCTGTCAAAAGAATTCTACGTTCTTGTTACAGTATTCATCATTCGAATAGTCACACACATTTAGAATGACCACTTTTGGCTTTCGTTGGGCCTATGATCTTGCCCAAAATAATAATGGCGAGACGCCATTCCCTGCTTTCATCAGTTTCCAAAGCTAATTGATCAGATGATATCAACGGTATTAAAAATTACCATTGGTATTGGTAATACACTTGAACTATTTACTATTAAAAAAATATTCAGGTGGGGGATCATAACGTTTTTGCAAACGAAAAATAAATGAGTAAAGATAAATAAAAAACAAATAATGTAATAAATAAAATTCACAATTCGATATTTAGAAAGGACATTGGGCAAAAATGTATGAACGCTGCACCCACGTCCACCACGACTTAAACTACATTTGTTTGAAAGGTATTGTAGTCATTAACTGTGCCAAAGCGCATCAAATTCCATCCCGAAAGTCTCTACTTATTTTACGTTAAATAGGTACATGTACTTTAACGAACGACCATTAACGAAACAAGGGATTAATTTAGCTAGTTCGACCCTACATAGAAGGTTAAGGTAATATGGGAGTACCTCACAAGGTGCAAGGGTGTCCCCTAGTGTTATTCACAAATTTTTAGTAAATCAAAAAATCCACGGTTAGGTTGTGTTTTTTTTTTCAAACAGTCTGTTCCTTATTAAAAACTCATAGTCTTCTAAGTAAAACGGAATTGGAAAATAACCCTTCCAATGTCTAGATTGATTGGGCTAAGAGTTTTCAGAAAGGTCAAATTATTAATTTTATCAGTCCTTCCTTAAAATTGACAGCTTCAACACCTGTGGTAAATCTACACTGACCTATAGAACTACTGATAGTGTTCACCTACTTTTTATAATTTTTTGATAAGGCATTTTGTTCATTTTAGATTTTGGCACTTATTTTTATTTACTACCTTTTCGTCATTTGCTTGTCTTACCAAGTGGAATTGTTTCAAGTAAGTAGGATTTACCATAGATTTATATATCTAGAGTATTTATTTTTATTTGACACACCAAGAACAATAACACAATATTTACATAGAGTGGACCCCCGGTAGTCCGACAAAAGTTTTGCAGGGCAGTGTCGAACTATCGAATTTGTCGGATTATAGAGTACTACCTAAGACCCCCTATAGTCCGATTTTTTTTACAAAAGAGTACCTTGTAATCCGACAAATTACAGATCCAATGATAAGATTACAAATCATACTTCGTTATGTATGTCAAATTTAGTAAATTAACCAACACAATAGAAAGATTACGTTTTATTATAAAAGTAATAATAGTAAGTTACAACTTGTACGCACCATGTACAAGTTGTAACTTGTTCAATCGTGAATTAGCGAAAACTTGTATGTAATAGACGATGTCGGATTATATGGGGTGCCGCATTAGCCAGGGGCCGGATAACCGGGGCTCCACTGTATAAAGAAAAAAAATCACAAGTCTGTGTGAATATTTTTTTAAGGTACATACAGTAATTGTTAATTATTAGGCATGACATTAATCACTAAAAATAAAAATAAAATCTTAGTCTATTTCTTACACTCCGTCTCCGTCAAACGACTTAGGGTGACTTTCTTGGTTCGGAAAAACAGTTTTGTAAAAGGCAAGATTGGATGACGTGGAATTCTTCTTGGTACTGTAAAATTTATTTCAGCAAGCATGTCAGGTACATTAATATTTTTATTAATCAACTTTTGTATCAACAAGATGTCGGTTGATTTTGTTCATTTCTCCAGTGTCTAATTCTAAATGTTTCAGACGATTTTTATAATTTGCTCGGACAATTACAACTTTTAAATGCCAAAAATTTAGTGAACTTGCGCTGGATTCATTCTATTCTTTCTTTTGAATTTTATATATTATGAAATAGTGTATTATTAACGTGCTCGTTTTTATTTATATCCCTGCATATAAGTAGGCACAGTGGTAAGCGCATTCATTCTGCAATCGTTGAATCTAAACAACCAAAAATAACTGCCCTTGTATCGGAAGGCCTGTTGAGGGCGTAGCTTGTGAACACCAAACCGATTCACCTGGAAGTTATTTGACTCCTAGGCATAAAGGAAGGAAGGGACCGTATGCAGCTTTCAGTAAAAGAATAGTTAAAATTAAAAATAGGACGATGTCAAAAATAAAATAATAGAATAGGATAAAAATAGACTTAGAACAAGAAAAAAGCAATAGCCAGAACAAGAAGAAATATGTAATAGAAATAATAAGTTATAATGTTTAGATTTAAGTGAAAGACATAAGGATTGTAAATATATATTATATGTAAGAACTTATGTAAGAAGAAAATACCAAGGCAAGCAAATTTTAAGTACATGATGGTAAGGACAAAGGAGCTAAAGATTATAAAATAATGGACGACACAAAAATGTTAGAATAAAGTACAAAAAGGACGCATGTAATAAATATAAAACCGGTATAATGTAATAAAAAGAAAAAGATAAAACAATGTATATCTTAACGAAAAAACATATAATACAAAATAATTATAAATATATATAAAATCCTGCCACATAATGAAGTAGCTAGCAATTATGAAAAACGCATCCTCTCCATTATCGCCTATCAGCCTTATTACGTGATCTATAATTTCTAGATTTTTTTGTCGTTTTTTGAACCAATATAACTTATAATAATAATATATTTTAACTATATAAAGTGTAGATATTGTGACAATCTGATTACTTTTTGACAATGCGAGTCATATGGTCTCGTCTTGGCAACATTGAAATGTACATGAAAATGTTTTGGAAGGTTTTTCATTTTTTATGCAGTCAAAAACGGAAGAATTGGTATAAGATAACAGTTAAAATGAAACTAACTGTAATGCGAAATAAAATGTACTTTATTTAAAATATTTACAAACATAACAGAAATAATATCACATTTTTGTTAACAGGAGCAGTACTTAAATTATTAATTTTACTAATGATGCTTTTGTTCAGGGATGATATGTTTTGCGTGACCCTCGCGTCTTACCACGGCGTTGAATCTGTAATAAAGACATAGTTATTTTAATATATATTAATACTAACTCTAGTACTAGACCTGTGTCTAGTACGAGAGTAGTAATTATTCTAAACTTGATTAAAATGTAAGTACAGCCTTGAAGATAGATGAAGTGGCAGAAATTTGTGCTGCACCAGCCACCTTTACCTTGCTGGCCTGAACTAAATCCCCTAACCCACCGCTCAAAAGAGTATTTTCGGAGATAACCTCAATTTACAAAATACTTTTTTAAAATAACTTCACCGCTATTACGGAAGAAGGGATTGACAAATACAACAAGTTAAATAGACTGGTTTACCCGTTGTGTTTGTCGGCGGAGTATTCGACGATGCGCACGGTGCCGTCCGCCTCGTGCAGCGAGTAGAAGCCCTTCACGACATCGCCGTCGCGGGTCTCGTGCTGGCTCTTGTGGTCTCCGGTATGCGGGTCCTGTACCGAGTACTCGTACGCGTACTTAGGATGCGCGTAGTAGTCCTCGTGCTCGTTGTCGTGGTGCTCTTGCTGGCCGCGCTGCTGGTACACCTGCTGGCTGTGTTGGGTGCGCTGCTCGTGCCCGCTCTGATGCAGCACTAGGCTTTGTGAAGAGGACGCGTGCTGATGGCCGCCATGTTGCGGGCGAGCTACGGCAACCAAGAGTATGGCACCGGCTATGATAATCTAAAATCAAGTGTAATAAAAATCAGGTCACTGACCAGAATAAAATAGGCCTGTTTAGCAAAGCTATTCAAGTTAGGGCGCTCCCAATAATTACGATTTGAAAAACGCATAATCTTTAATTAACAAAAAATATAGATAGTTCTGAGTTGGGTTGTTCCGTATTCGTCAGATGAAGTCTCATCCTGCTCATTATTTACAAAACAAAATTCACTTACTTTAGTAAACATTTTTTCAGTTAATATTAAATATGTGTAGTGTAACCAAAGCAACAATTCATAATGAACGAACTCAAAATAATCTTTTATACTTAAACCAAAAATTACTGATATAGCAACTTTTCGTAATAATTCAAAACCGTAAAGTTTAAACCAGTTACTGCTCTGAGTGCTATAATTTTTATTTTGAACGAAAGTGACCTTGACTGGAAGCAACTTGATAACGTTATACAAACAAGCTGCCGCCCACCTTTCTTTCACCGCGCAAAAATTGCTCTGCAGTCCTACTTAATATTATGAATGTAAAAGTTTGTAACTTTGTATGATTGTTACTTAATCACGCAAAAACTTCTAAACGGATTTGGATTAAATTTGGTACGCATATCTTCATTTCATTTCATTCTGGAAAAATGTCAGGTTTCTGTGAGATTCTTAAAAAACTAAAGTTAACGCGGACGAAATCGTGGGCGGTCGCTAGTATACAATTTTCATATAAAAAAGTACCTCTGAAACGGCATGAAATTTTGTGAAAATAAGAATCCGGAGCGATAGCGGGGCTATCAAAAGAGCAGGAGGTGAGGAAAGATTTTTTACCTCCTGCCCTCCTCGTAACGTAACCTTTTATCACACCTCAGCGAGGAAATGACTAAATGCAAAAAAAAAAACATTTATAATCACAAAATACTTTTATTTCAGTATTAACTACTACATTTTGTATGGTAATTATTACAGAATAATCTTTAAATTATAACAAACTAGCGGCTCGTCCTCGCTTCGCTTCGGTGTAGAGCTGTACAATACACAATGACATTCATCTATGATTCTTCTTATACCTGCATGCAAAGTCTCAGCCCGATCGGTTAAAAATTGACAAAGTTTCATACAAACTTTCATTCCCTATTTTATCCCCTGGGGGGTAAAATTGATCAAAATCCTTTCTTAGCGGATGCCTACGTCATAACATCTACCTGCATGCCAAATTTCAGCCCGATCCGTCCAGTGGTTTGGGCTGTGCGTTGATAGATCACTATGTCAGTCAGTCAGTCACCTTTGAGTTTTATATATATAGAAGATAATAGGCGACGGCGTTACGCCCATCTCCTACCTCCTTAACGTGTGCTCCTCCAGCGGGTGCAGACAGGCTAGTCTGCGATCGCATTACACGGCCTCGTTCGTCTGGGAGGGACGGGGGCATCCCTCCACACGTGACGAAGCTCGGCATAAGCCGGGCCCCGCCAAGACGGTATTGAAGTCCCATACAAGGATCTCACGCAGTCATAACGGGCAGAGCGGGCACACCCCAATGTTTTAGTGGGTATGCCCGCGAGCGTTCGTCTGGTCATGAGTTATGACCGGCTGAACGCACGTAGGAGAGCCCCACATAACCTCGTCGCACACCCGGCGGCGGGGTATGCATAAGGCAGCATTTCACTGGGTCAAAAAAAAAGGTTAGGTTAATTAACAAAAAAAAATATAGAAACGTTGCTACTGTTCTTAAGTTGAGTGTAACATTTTTGTTAGGTACTGTAATGTTGCTGTTAGTGACTTGTTAACTGTTTTTGGTAAACTATCTGTCATAATTAATAGTTGTACTGATTCATCGGTTCAACTATTTAGTATGACATTAGCGTAATTGTTGGCGAGAGAGGGCGATGGTTATTAGGTGTTTCGTTACGGCTCATGTTTGATGTAGAAGGGCCAGTCCAAGGATCTGACTTTCAGTGAAATGGCTCCTACGATACCTTTACATATTTAAGACCTATTTTGGATGGAATCCTTTATGTATCCCTCTACAACCGCATTGGACTTCCAGCCTCCATGGCATTAGGTATAGGAGCTACTAAGTACATATAAGATTATGTTAAGTAGTTGATTAATATACTTAAGTAGATACTGAATGTGCAACTGACCTACTTATGCCGCCAAATATACGGAAGCAGGCTCGTCGTTAAAATACTTTCAATTTCAGGTACTGCGAAAACCTTAATTCTTTTTTGTTGATGACCAGACGATGCTCTTTTTAATAATACCACTAAATTAGGATAGAGGTCGATATGTATGTTTTTTTTATCTTTATTGTAACTTTTAATTTGAATACAATCTCTATAGAGTGCTTGATTTCTTGGTCTCGGATAATTCAAAAAAATATGCCAACAAAACGTTTTCTGAGAAAGTTTTGGCTCCGTTAGCTAATCGCCATGTGTTAAGCAAATTGTTCTTTTTCAAATACTTCTCCCGTGATTGTTGAAGGAAAAAGCTCATTTGCGCCGTATTAACAGTTTCAGTCAATTCTGTTGGCGTCAATTCAACTTCTTCGTTTTTAGAATCACTCATTTTAGGTTTTTCACATGTTTTCAAGTTTCTTGCTTTTAACCTAAGGTTTTTACAATATATCGTGGAAAAGCAAATGGCGCGCGCAAAGCAAATTAAAAAAAAGTACACCAAGAAGGTTCCGAGTCAGAGTTTTTAACAAATTAAAAAAGATTGATAAGTTGTTAATACTAGTCCAGTCAATGAAGGCTTAACTTTGCCATTTTGAGTTGATCACCTGCAACCAACGCGAAAATTTCCGCAAGGGTTCGTAGATTAATATACTAAAATTGCAGGGTGCTGCATTGACGGCAAAGGGTGAAAAAAAAAACGCGAAATGGTGCAAAAACGAGTTTTTCGTCAATATCTCGCGACTGGCTGGAAAAATAGAAAAAGTTTTTAGTATAAAGTTGTAGAAAATTTAATTTCCTACAAAAAATGTATCTACATATTTTCCCGTATCTCCTATAGTTTTTGTACAAAATGCGATTAAAGGTGCAAAATAAAAAAAGAATATATTGTTAATGGTTTTTTTTTCCATTTTTAAACGATCCCACGGGTCAAATTCAACAATCACCACTTACTGAAATATTTAAGGATGAGTTTTCGGTAGTCCACTGAAATGAAAATTGTCTACCGAAATGGTAAAAAAATGACCACCAAAATGATACAGCCAAGAACATCGCCTTTGTAGTAGAAGGGTTACCTATTTTAAATTTAAATAAATTTCCTTATTCTTTGTAAATATTTTTGTTCATTATTTTTTAATAAGAATTATTAATGAAGAATTAATTAATTGTTACTTCTATTAATTATTATTACTGATTATAATTATTAATATGTACATTTTCAAAATAACGAACAAAGCGCGTTTAGAAAGTGAGAAGTTTATTAGTTAGTAAATCGTCCCCTTAGTGCCAAAACCGATTATATGCACTTTTGCGCTACTGAACTTTTATAATACCAATCGACCCGTCCCATTAAGCCGCATCTACAGGTAAAACCCCAACGACGCATACTTCGTGAAATAGCTAATGAATAAACAGAATAACTGCAAATTATTTCCAAAATTCTTGATTTAAAACCTAATAAACCCATTCAGAACACTTAAGTTTGTAAATGTATTACCGCTGAAACCAAGTTACGGATTTAAACTCATTTTTCATGTAGACACTTTGAGTAAATATCCTGTGAGTAACCTGTAATTGACTTTGACTGTTTGAATTTTACCAGATATTTTAATTTTACTAGATGAAGTAAAAACTAACAAATATGTCGCTTTTTGCAAAAAAATATATATAATATGTTTGCGTTATATTTGAGGCAAGTAAAAGAGGATAGACCGAATCGATCGACAGGTGACCCTCTAGCGTACGTGACATATATCTGGGATGAGGCTATCGATAAGCGAGGTGAGTCTGGGTATCAGTCTTAACATCGCCAAGGCTTTGATAGGGTCTGGCACATAAGTCTTATCTCCAAGCTTCGAATCCACAATGACGTTGTTGCGCGTGCGAGTGTGCTCCAGCGAAGGCGGACTGGCTCGAAGTGAGCTCTGACAAGCGGGACACAACAACGCAATGTAGACGAACCTATTTCACAAAAACTTACTGTCCATGGAAATGATAACTTTTTCCAGGACAAAAGTTGAGTGCTTGTTACATGTATAAGGGGCCGTTCAAGTATTACGTAAGCAGATTTATTACAATTATTTACCCCCTCCTCCCCCTCGTCAGCAGAAGTAAGCAAAGCTCTTACCCCTCCCCCCCATCCTTACGTAAACATTGGTACCTATATGCATTTTTCCTTTAATGTATTTTGTTTTTTTTATTGATTCATGAGCTTTCATGAGCTTCATGAGCAGCAGTACTTAAAAAGGCTTAATTGATGATGCTGACGTAATCACCATCTCTACCCCCCACTCCCCCATGTCATCAAAAATAAGCAAAGCAAAGACCCCCCCTGCCCCCCTATAGTGCTTACGTAATACTTGAACAGCCCCTTAGGGAGAAGGTAAACAAACAGTTGTAGGTTTTGTTGATAGGCTATATTATATAATAATGATATAAAAGTTAATTTCAATCGAAAAAATAAATGTAACTACAGGGGAAGTAATTTTACGAGAGGAATTGGGTTTAAGACAGGTTACCCTGATGATAAAATGCCACTTCGTATTTTTTTATTTTATGGAATAGAGCCCATTACTCAATTATTCTTTTTGACAAGGTTGAGAAGTACCTACTTAACTAAGAAAAAAGTCAAAATCATAAATCAGCACATTGCACTGCCGCTCTGAGCAATGTCGTGTATTTTTTTTGCTTGGGGAGTTCACCTCTACATGCTTCATTGGGATTTAATTAATATGTTTCGGGCATTTTTTTATTTCCTTTTTCATATAATAATCTTGACAAAAAAAATGATTTCAATTTTATTATATGATAATGTACAAGAATATGTATGGCATATTGCAAATATATGTTTTAAATGCAAATTTTGCGCTGAACACGATGAAATAAAAATAAATGTTGAAGTTAAATTGAAATATTTTTTTTTATCAAGTTTATTTTTCGTTATTTTTCTTCTAATATTCGATAATAGTGCACCCAGTAATGTTTATTAGTGATTAATTAAACAAAAAAAAAACATTGTTGCCCAGCGCGCGATTCAACAATGAATGAATAAAAGTGAACAACTCACTCCGTAGCGCCAGTGTTGCCACCTTGGTGGTTTTTCCACCAGAACTGGTGCTTTTTCACGGCTTCTAGTGGTATATTTTCATTATCTAGCGGGTATATTTTTTTTAGTGTCTTTTAGTGGTTTTTTAACATGAAATCTAACAACATATTTTTAAGGGGGAAAT